CAACACCAGCCGGGACGGCCGCCGTGGTCGCCTCCAGTGGACCCTGGCGGGCTCTGCCTCCCTGGGGGACGGTGCTCAGAGAGGACGGCTCAGCCCTGCGTCTCTGGCAGGCGGTCCCCGAGGGTGGCCCAGTGGACGGTGTGGGGGACCCGGGGAGCGTGGCGGGAGGGCTCCGTGCCTTCATGCCCTTGTGTGGGAGTCCCTGTCTGAGGGGCAGAGAGCAAGGGTCCTCGGTGCACCCCCACACGGGGCCAGGGACCCCGTGGCCCGCAGGGTGTGCTCGCAAAGCAGCCGGACGAGCCCAGGCTCTGCCCTGGATGGAAGCTTCCGGCTGCTCCGGGAGAGTAAAGTGTTCTCGGGGGCGAGAAGATTGCCCTTCAGTCACGAAGCCGTGCAGCTCGGTGAGCTCGGAGCAGTGGACGCGGGCTGGACCCGCCACCCTGACATTCCGCGTCCCCCCGCCCAGCCCTGCCGCAGGCGGGGAGCCCCCTGAGCCGCCCCTTCCTGGCTCGGGCTGGGGTCGGGGGCCGGCGGGAGGAGCTCCCGGCTGTGTCCACGGTCCCCCACTGCCTGACTCGGACCCGGTGCTGGGCCGCTCGCGCGTCTCTTAGAGGAAGGAGGGGCTTCTCCGGGGCACGTGTGCCCGTGTGCCGGGCCAGTGTTCCCAGGGCCGGTGAGGCCATGTTGCTGGGGGGGGGCTGCGTAGGGACCCCTCCTCCGATCCCGCTGCCGTCCCGCTGTCCTTTCCCCGGAAGGTAGTCTCTCCCTTGTCTCTTCTCAGAAGCGTCCCCGCTGCCCCCTGTCCGGCCCCGTCACTCTGTGGCTCTCCTGACCCGTCTTCAGCTCCATTCACCGTTGGCCCAAACGCCGTCTGGGCAAACTGACCGTCCGGCAAATTCCCCGCCTGTAGCACTGTGGCCCCTGCCTGCGGGCCCTACGCTGTGGCCTTTCTCCCCAGTGCCCGGTCTCTCTCCCCGGACCAGGGCCACCCGCCCCACCATGGCCTCGGTGCCCCTCTGGCCCTCTGATGCCCGTCCAGCTGTGTCCCGAGCAGCCTGCCACACGCTGCCCATGGCTGCAGCGGGCTGAAGCAGCAGGGGCCTGAGGCAGAGCCCGCGTCCCTGGGATGTCCGCGTGGAGGGCAGTCTGGAGCGGGGCCAGGAGCCACTCGGGGCCCCAGCCTGAGGCTCCCAGCGCTCGCTGCCGGGGGAGGGGCAGGCACCCAGCCAGCAGCAGGTGCACAGAGCCGCCCCGGGGTGCGTGTGGGCAGGTGCGAGCATGTTCACAGGGAGCGGGACCGGCTGGCGAGAGGAGGTGCGAGTGCTGGGTGCCTGGGGGCGTCTCTGGGGACCCATGCGAGGTGGGGACGGGCCGAGGGAGGGGCAATGGCACCCCCCACGTCCGAGCAGATGCCCCATCAGAGGCTCCATTTTGGCCCCCAGCCCCAGTCTGGAAAAGCCTGCATTCCCGGGGCCCAGGGACAGGCCAGGGGACGTGCCAATGACGCCTGATGAGACGGGGGCCCAGCTGCTCACGCGGCCGAGGCTCCTGACTGTCAGCCACTGGGGGCACCATCAGCCCCTGGCGGGTGCCCTCTCCGGCACCAGAGCTGCCTCAGCGTCACCGACACCGTGACGTGTGGCACGAAAGGTCCCTGTGTCCCTGGGACACGGTGGCCGGAGCCGTGCCTGCCACCGCCTCCAGCAGGAAGTGGGCTCGGGCCGGCTGAGCTGAGCTCTGCAGCAAACAGAAGGCGTGTGCTCAGCAGCGGCTGGCCAGTGCCCTCCGCGGGGCCGGCCCCCGGCACACCCGGCCGCCACGCTGCGTGGGGGACGGGTGGCCGTCAGCTGCTTGATGCGTCCGCTCGTGTGTGTGCGCACGCACTCGTGGACGCACAGACGGGTGCGTGCTGTTTGCCCGTGTTCGTGCGTTTAAGAGTCTGTGTGCATTTGCGTGACTGCCGTGTTCCCCTGCGTGTGAACAGGAGCACATGTGAGCAGGCGGGGACATCTGTGATCGGCCGTGTGGACACTGCGAGGGGGGCTGCGTGTTCCCCACTTTCAGAGCTGCGTGTGTGACGGGAAGGAGTGGAGGGGTGGGGTCCGCGGCCTCCAGGCTGCTTCCATAAAGGTGAACGGAGCCCAGGAGGAGCCCGGGATCACACTGCAGTGACGTGGCCTCGGCTGAGGGCCTGGCAAGGCAGGGGGAGCTGCTGTGAGGCTAACGGGAGCGTCCCGAGGTCCTCAGGGTGCACGCGAGGCTGGGGCCCTCTCCCCCAGCGTCTGTCCACGGCCGCCAGCCCCAGTGGCTGCAGGGGGTCGACCGTGAGGGATGTGTATCCGTGAGCGCCCCGACAGGCTGAGCCCTGTGTGGGCCCCTGCTCCTCCTCCTGGCACCGTGCTCCCCTGGGAGGACCGGGCCTGAGGGTGGACAAATGCTGCTGCTGAGGCCCCGCAGCCGGCACACGGCAGTGCAGCATGGAACCCAGGCCCTTCTGCCGGCCCCGCCAGCTCAGGCGTCTGGCCGTGTCCCAGGGTGTCCCGCACCCTGGGCAGCACAGCCCCAGCCGGGACCGGCCCTCAGCACTGTCTGTGCAGCCCCCTCCTGGATGACGCAGTCCCCCGCCCGCGTGGCCTTCTTGCCTGCAGAACCTCGTCGTCCTCTCGCCGCCGAAGGGGACGTCGTCCCCGAGACACCTTGTTCTCGCTCTCGGACCCTCGGTCAGGCGTTGGGGCGGCCCAGGCCTCCCCGGTGGCGGAGCCTCGGTGACCGCGTTCCCTGGGTGCGGCTCAGGGAGACAGACAGGGAGCGCGGATGCGGATTCCCTTTGATCCACACTTAAGCCCCTTCCTCGCCGATCCTCCCCGCTGATCCCAGAGAAGCTTCCCCGACACTTGTCAGGATCCTCGTCCAGACGCCACGCAGGGGATTTCCGGGGATTGGGCCGGGCGTGTGCCTCAATCCGTAGCCGCTCCGCGGGCTTAGGGTGTCCGTCTCCTGGCTTCCAACAGGGCTTTGGGGCCATCTTTTGCCGTGACGAAGCGGTGCATCCGGGACAGGACGTCGTGGTGGGGCCCTGGCAGGAATGATGAGTGGAGGAGGAGGGAGGCCTGGGGGGGGGCGGGGGGGGGTGCACTGGGCAAAGCGCTGGCTCCCACGTGGCCGGGCCCGGGAGGGGCTCCCGCCTGCACCCAGCGTCTCCCCGAAGGGTCCGGCCCAGGACAGCGGCCGCTCCTTGCAGAGACGTTCCTGGGGACGCTGCGCATGGAGTCCTGCGCGTCCCCACCCTGCCCTGGGGAGCCGCACTGGTTCTCAGCTGCAGTGTCTTCCGTGCTGACTTTCCAGCTGAATGAGAAGTGTGTCCGAGGGGTGAGTGTCCCTCGTGTCACAGGCTGCTGTGACAAAATGCCACCCCCAGGGCAGCTTCAGCAGCAAATGTTTGGGGGCCAGGATTTGAGGCAAGGGCACCGGTGGCTCAGGTTCCAGCAAGAGGCCTCCTCTGGCTTCTCACGTGTCCTCGTGGGCTCGGTGCTGAGGGACAGCGGGGACTCGGTGTCTGCTCTCACACGGGCACCAGTCCTATGGGACCGGGACCCCACCCTCGTGACCTCATGTCACCCGACTTCCGTAAGAGCACTGTCCCCGAGGGCACACACGTTGGGGGTTAGAGGGTCAGGGCTTCACCTTGTGACTTAGCGGGGTGCAGTCCCGTCCGTGGCCTGGCCTGGAAAGGAGCGGGTCTCAAGGTGACCACCTAGTGCATCCTCTGGACGGCCCCAGGTCCCGCCCCCGGCCTGTCTTCCGGCCCCGCTGGCCTCCTCCCACCGCCCCCGAGGGGACAGGCACACCGGCACAGGGCAGATGCACAAACACGCGCCTGCGCTCGCTTGGCCTGGACCCCCGCGTGCGTCCTCCGGCAGGGGGGCGGGAGCTGGGGCCGAGGCTGTGGTTGGAAGCGTGCGTCTGGCCCGCTGGGGGCATCCGGTCTGAACGCACAGACCCTGCACGGGGGACCCTCCGATTTGCGCGGATCCCCTTCCTGTAAAAGTGCGGTCAGCCGGCCGTACGTGCCTCTGGAAGGACGCGCGCTGTGTCCTAACTCGGAAAGCAGCCACAGGCCCGCAGCCACAAAATGATGGGGTGCCTCCAGCAAGGGAGAAACGTGGCTCTTTTCTGCCTGGAAGCGGTTGGTTCGGGCTTTATGGTCGCCGCGTCACTCCGGGCTCAGCGGCCACCTGGGGTCTACCCACCCTGTCGCTTGCCTGCACCCCAGGCGATGACAGGGGCTCAGGTCAGCCCCCCCGCTTTTGGAGGAGGACCAGGGAGGGGCCGTGGTCACTGCGAGACCCGCCGTGGATCGGTCCGATGGCAGCACTGGCCCACCTCCTGAGGACCCCGCTCGCAGCGCCGACCCCCGGCCCCTGCGTCCCCATCCTTCACCCGGCCCGCGTGTGCCACACCAGAGGGACATCGGTGCTGCTTTTTTTTTTTTTTTCAACGTTTTTTATTTATTTTTGGGACAGAGAGAGACAGAGCATGAACGGGGGAGGGGCAGAGAGAGAGGGAGACACAGAATCGGAAGGAGGCTCCAGGCTCCGAGCCATCAGCCCAGAGCCCGACGCGGGGCTCGAACTCACGGACCGCGAGATCGTGACCTGGCTGAAATCGGACGCTTAACCGACTGCGCCACCCAGGCGCCCCAAGTGCTGCTTTTAAGGAGAGAACAGACTTGTCCACTTCAGGACGAGGCCGTGGCTGCTCCCTGAAACTGTCCTCAACACCCCATTACCACTTACTGGGGGCTGGGGGCTGGGGGCAGGTCCGGGCCTGGGGAGCAGCACTGATCGGGGTCCGGGGCAGCAGTGGCCGGCCGCCCCGCGTGACCCGGGCGCCGCCCACCAGACCTTCGGCCCCCGTGGCCGGCGCCCAGGGTGGGGTGGGGTCAGGGTGCGGGCGCCGCCCCAGCTGAGCCACGCTGACCGCCCTCCTGTCTCCCACAGCTCGGATCATCAAGACAAAGCAGTGGTGCGACATGCTCCCGTGTCTGGAGGGTGAAGGCTGTGACCTGCTGATCAACCGGTCAGGCTGGACGTGCACGCAGCCCGGAGGGCGGATAAAGACCACCACGGTGCGTACGCGGCCCTGCTCACTCTGGGACGCAGGGAGGGCGGTGGGCCCCGGGCACTGGGTCCTCGAGGGGAGGTGGCCCCACACCGGCGATGACGGGGGCAGTCGGCTTCCTGGTGTGGAGAGGCCACGCCTGCCTCCACGCCCGCCTCGTTCTCTGGGCTCCAATCAGTCGGTCCCTGGGCTGTCTCCGCCCCCTCGGGCCATCTCGGAGAGCGTGACAGAACCACTCAGGAGGTAGCTGAGGGCCCACGGGGCACAACTGGTGGTTGGTGATGTTGTCTCGTGTCTGGGGCAGGGGCATGCTCGAAGCTCCAAGAGAAGGGGTTGGGGCCCCCCAGAGCGGGGCGAAGGCTCTTGAAAGAGCAGGATTGACTGGGGAGCAGTGGTGACCTGAATGTCTGTTCCCGCCCTGGGCACCGCAGAGTGGCCACTCGGCAGAGGCCCCGACAAACCCCCGAGGTGCCCCCTGTCCTTCCCCAGCACCCCCTGTCCACTGAGGGGGCACACCGCGGACCCTCCTTTCCAGGCGCTGCGACCAGCCCTGTCCCCATGGCTGCTGTTCCTTGGGGGCGGAGGTGGGAGGGGCAGGAGGGGAGGGGAGGGGGTCCTGGGACTGCTCGCTGAGGTCCCTTTTCCAAAGGTAAGTTCCTCGAGGCCTGTGCAGCGACGGCCCAGGCCACGGGAGTCGGCGCCCGTGTCCTCTGGTTCTGACCCTGGGGCTCTGCAGGCCGAGGCCCACACGGCAATGACCTCCGCTGCCTGCTGGCCCATTCTCACCCCAATCCCGCCCTTCCTCGTAAGCTCCACCTAGAAACTGAGGACTGGAGTAGGTTGTGATCTGGCCGTGACTCCCGCCTCGGGAACGTTGAGTCAGGGAGGTCTGGGGTCCCTGGGGAAGCATCTGGAAAGCCCCACGGGGGTCCGGGCCTCCTCCCGGGATTGCTTTGGGAGCCGCAGCCCTCAGGAGCTGGGCCAGAGGAAAACCCGCGGCCTCTGGGTGGAGCCCATATGCTCCAGGCCCCTCGGGGGCACGGTCTGAGCAGCGGCTGCCTGTTGGTGGGAGTTAGGCAGTTCTCCCTTGGTGGCAGCGTGGGCTGGGCGGGGGGCACCGGCCACATGCAGCCCTCAGCTGAGACAGTCACTTGTTCACCCGCGATGAACACGGGAACGGCCACCCTGTCCTCATGCCCATCAGGTGTGCAGGGACCTGTCACCTGCCTGGCGGCTCCGAGGGAGCCCAGGGGAGCTTCTGACGTGTGGCCACCAGCTCCAGGGGCTCATTATTCTAGGGTCCCCGTCTGTGTGCCGTTCCCAAACGGGGGAGACCTGGGGACACGCAGACCCTCTCTGGCCAGGGCCACTGTCCTCCATCCGTGGGGACCGAGGGGTCAGTGTGATAAAGCCGGAGGGCGGGGGTCTTCCCAGGTGTCTCTAGACAGAGCTCTGGCTCTCACGGCAAGGCTGGGCTGCGGTGACCCGTTTGCAAAGCTTTCCGAAAAGTTTACTTGAGCTCTTGACCCAAACACCGTATAATTGGAGGCGTAGTCCGGGTTTCACGGTTGCGTCTCGATTCTCTTATAGATGCTCAGTTAGCACTATGGGGTCTCCCCTTCCATCACGACGGTTTTCCTGTGAGATGGGCTCTGAGGGACCTCATGATGGCTTGGCCAGGTGACAGCCAATTCCAACTCAGTGGCTAGAGCGTGTCTGGGGCGGTGCCCCTCCCCCCACCACGTCTCACCTCACACCTCCGTGTTCCCTTCTCTGTGCCCACCCACCTGTGAGTGGCCCTCACGCGGGGCCCCCGTACGCTGGTGCGATACGTTAATGACTCCAGCTCCTGGGGAGAGACCCCGGGCGCATGCTGGTGTTTGCATGTCCTAGAGCGTGGCTCCTCAGAGGGCAGCTTGCTCCCCATTAGTGGGTCATGAAGTTAATTTCCTGGATCATGACCAGCATTTAAAAGAAGTTAGAAGAAATAGAGTAAAACGAGAGAGTCCCGCGTCATGAGGGTGAATGCCGCGTAGTGAAAAGCCCACGCACGGGGTCACCAGGGAGATGGGGTCGTCACGGCAGGACACGGCGAGGTGTGGTGGCCTGGCGGCCTCGGGGCGCTCCCACGTCTGTGTGGCCCCAGGCTCCGCTTCTCGCTCCACTGGCCCGTGGACGTTGGCCTGCACCAGGAACGTGACCCGGGAAGACGCGCCCTCCCCATGTCAGGCGCTGAGGCCATGAACTGCATGTGTCATCAGGTGCTCGTCCGCGCACTGGTGCTCCGTCCCCTGAACCAGATAGAAACCCACGTTCCCAGTCAGCCATTAGGCACCACACTTGAGTTCTGTGCGTAGCGAGCACCCGGTTGGGGGGAGTGTCTGTCCCGTTCTGCTTAGGAACTGGGACTTCGTGGAAACTCGCTTCCCCCGAAACCACACTTCCCAGGCGCCGGCTCTGAGACGAGGCCCGGCGGCCGCAGCCTGAGCTCGTCCGTGCCCAGAGGTGGACATCCTGCCCGGCTGTTCAGGACTGCAGGCAGTCAGGGGGTCACGGTGTCCTGGCATCTCGGCTAGGCCCTGGGAGGGGATGCCCGGCGGCCCAGCCTGGCCTGCCGACCAGTCCCGGAGCTCAGCGCTCACTACGGACCAATTCACGCGGCAGACAAGCGCCAGGGCGGGGGTAGGGTTGGCTGTTGTTGATTCCTGTTGGGTCCTGCCTGTTAACACCCCCACGGTGCTGAGTGTCTTTCCACAGAGCCCTCGTCTGGGCCGAGCAAGCGAGCATGGGACGGGGCGGGGGCCACTGTCCCTTCTACTGCCCATCTGTACCATCCTGAGGATGATGTGTTGTCCAGATGACCCGCTTGGCCCGGAGCTCCCGCCTCAGCCTCCTGCAAGCTTGGGGCCCCACACCCTAGAACTTCCCACCCTGCACCCGCCCACCCTGGACCACCACACCCTAACACCCCACCCTGGACCCCCGCACCCCGGACCCCCACACCCTGGACCCCCACACCCTAGACCCCGCACCCTGGACCCCCATACCCTGAACCCCATACACATTTGGCCCCAACACACTGGACCCCCATACCCTAGACCCCCCACACCCTAAGATCCCCACACCCTGGACCACCACACCCTAGACCCCCACACTCCGACCCTCCACCCTGGACCCCCACACTGTAAAATCTCCATACCCTAGAACCCCGCACCCTGGACCCCCATACCCTGGACCCCCACATCCTAGATCTCACACCCTAGACCCCACACCCTAGACCCCCATATCCTGGGCCCCCACACACTCTCCACACACTTGCACTGAGAATCTTACAAGGACCAAGAACCTAGCAAATGATCTGGGCCCCCCGTTAAAAAAACAAACAAACAAAAACACACGTGCTGCTCATGTTGCCATCTGGACACCCGTATAAAGTGACAGGGACAAGAGAAGGAGAAAGGCACAGGGGGAAGGAGAGGAGACGGCAGGAGGCACCGTGCAGGCAGGCCCTCCCGCCTGGCCCCACGGCAGACGGCCCCAGGGGGTTCGTGCCAGGGTGGGGCCCATGTCTGGTGCGTCTCCAGGTGGGGGAGCTTCCTGAAGACCCAGGTCCTGAGAAGCACAGGCCCCCTCAGCTCCCGGAGCGCTGTCTCTCTGGAGGATCCCTCCACCGTGAGTCCCCTGCGCCCCCCCCCCCCAAGTGACCACAGCCACAGCTCATTCTCACTGGGCTCTGGGGGCCAGAGGTCAGATGTCGAGGCGAGGCTCCTCCAGAGGAGAGGAGGGAGGGTCCGTCGGCCTCAGGCCGGGTCTGGGGCTCCGTCGTCATGTGGCCGTGTGCCTGCGGGAGCCAGTGTTTCCCTCGAGAACACTCGGCCGTCACGTCCAGGCCCGTCCCAGGTTAAGCATGGTTCGGTCTCCCGAGCTTTATTTATTACACCTAAGATGACTCCATTTCCAAAAATGTCACTTCCCGAGGGTCAGTGGGCATGAATTTTGGGTGGGACGAGGGTCCCATCCCATCCCGTCCGCTAACTTAAACCAGCCCAAGGTGGGTCGCCGTGGCATGGGGCCCGAGGACCCTTCTGGGAAGCCCAGCCTCTGCCCGTTGGGTCTGTAGGCCACGCTGGAGGACGTGGGGGAAAGCAAAGGGCCAGTGCTCGAGCAGGGAGCACAGAGGACGCAAACCACAGGCTGGAGGCACAGGCGCCCGGAAGGCCGTGGAGCCAGGGGCCATGCAGAGAAGCTGGCGGGGGGCCCGCGGGAGCAGGGGGTGGGAAGGCGGCAGGAGGAGGGCACGCCAGTGGGGCCGCATGTCCCCGACCTCTTCCCTTCCTCCCCCAGGTGGGGTCCCTGAGCCCCCGGGCGGGGAAGGAGGGTGCGATGGCCCCACATCCACCGTGCTCCCCTGTAAGGGGCCCCCGCCGACCTCTCTCGACACAGGGGTGAGCTGTCACCCCCATGCTCTCACGCCCAAGATTTGTGACAAGAGTCACGGTGGATTTAAGACGCTGACTTGGACACCAGGGAGATAAAAGGCATTTGGGGGGGATTACGTGTATAGTTTTTAAGAGGACGGAAGTATAAAGCATGTATAAAATGCACATGTGAGCACATGTGCACCTGTGGTTACACACGCGTGCGCATTTGTGTGCACATACACCTGCACGAGTGTGTGTGTGCAGAGCAGATTCTAGAATCTGCAGAGCACGCTGGTGGAAGGACGGAGCCCCAGAAAGTCGTGGCGTCGATTGTTGACGAGAATTAGGAAAAACAGAGACCAGTTCAGGAGGTCCGAAGAAGACAGGGTCCAAAAACAGAGAGAAACGGAGGAGAGAAGATTATCAAAGAAATACGTAAGAAAAGAAATCCCCAGAGCTCAGAGGTGCAGGTTGCAGAGGGAGGGGTGAGTCAGCACGGGGCCGCGGACCGGCCCAAAGCCGGAGGGGAAAGGGTCACGTTCGGACTCGGATGCGGCCGCTGCTGTCCTGCCCAGTCGCTCGAAGC